TTAGTACATTTTCTTAAAATCATTAAATTGTAATGAGGGCCACAGAAAATTTTAAACAATAAACTATATATATTTAATTTAATTAATTAAAATAAATGGTGATAGAACTTAGCAGAACCACTAACCATAGAACACATTATGGTTTTTGGCAGAACATATCCAATTTCAAGTTTAAAGGGCAGTTGATAAAAATATAGATAGCATCGATATATATTGAATAATTATATTGTTAGCGCAAATCCACTTTTAAGATATCGATATGTTAACCATCACTTGTATGAATTGTGACTCATACTTCACTATTCCAATTACTAGTAGCAAGTGTAGGTTCTAGTAGAGGAAACTTTTGCCAAAATATAAGTCAGGGATTTAAATTTTGTATATTTATTTTATACAACATGTCATACCAACAATGTGGAATGCCCGATCAGACGTTTCTTTGGGACGTATTTCAAAGGTATTTATATTAATATCAACATTTGGCAACGTACATACGTATGTACATTGCATGTATTTTAATTTATATTGTAAATTTACATGTACAAACATGTTACATATATATAAATACATATCTACATATATACATAGAGTACTGTTATACAAGTATATGTTATATATTCCATTGATAAAACTTTGTATGTGTTTTAAGGGTCGATAAAGACAGGAGTGGACATATCTCTGCAGATGAACTACAGGTTGCTCTCTCCAATGGCACATGGTCAGCTTTTAACCCGGAAACAGTTCGGCTTATGATCGGAATGTTTGATCGCCAAAACAGAGGAACCGTATCTTTCGAGGATTTCGGAGCACTATGGAAATATGTAACTGATTGGCAAAATTGTTTTCGCTCTTTCGACCGTGACAATTCAGGCAACATTGACAAGCAAGAACTTAAAACTGCTCTTACTTCCTTCGGTTATCGGCTATCTGACAATCTTATTGAAATATTGCTGCGTAAATTCGATCGCTTTGGCAGAGGAACAATACTTTTCGATGATTTTATCCAATGCTGTATTGTCCTATATGTAAGTATTTTATTTCACTCAGCTTTATAACAATAGGGATATTTTGGTGATATACACATATTTATAAAAACATAAGGGCAGAAGTAGTGCAATAATTAACATAT